CTGGACGCGGGGGTGGAGGGGGCTCTGCGCGGGGCTGGGCTGGGCTGGGCTGGCCTGGCCGGCTCCGGCGCCGGGGACCACGCGCGACTGGTTAGATCTTGTCCTGATCTCTGGAAAACTGTGACTATCTCACATGTCCTGCCCTGCTCGGATCCCCTGCGCTAACGAGCCAGGCCCCCCTTGATTGCTGATTTTACGCTTTTTGGACCAATTGTGGGTCTCCGGGGGCGGGGTTTTGACAGCTCAGGCCAAGCTCCGGACGGGAGGGGGGGCCGAGGAGAAGGTGTCGGAAGCCTCAGCAGTAAGAAAACATGTCAACAGAATAAAATATTAACCAATGACGGGCCAGCGGGCCCCGAGACCCCTCCCCCTGGCCTGGCCCCCACCCCGCCGCCCGCGCGGGCCGCTGCCTGGGCGAGGGCTGGGAAGCGCGCAGGGCCGACCTGACCCGCCGAAAGGGCCTGAGGCAGGGGGCGCCCGGGTCCCAGGGCCTTGGGGAAGGACCCCTAGCCGCATGCCGGCCCCAAGTGCAAAGCATTGACACGTTCCGGAGAGGAGAGGGGGCGCCCTTTCCCTCCCGCGCCGGGAGGCCCGGCCGCTCTGGCCTGCGCCCCAGCCTGGCCTCCCACCCCACTCCCGGTCACCGCCCCGGGTCCCTGCACTTCGGAGGGAGGCTGCGGGCACTGGAAAGCGAGGCCGGTGGGCGGGCAAGTCAGGAGGCTCGGGCGGCCGAGGTCCCGGAGCCGAACTCAGGTAGCCGGAGCCGGTGAGTGGGGAGCCATGGCAGGACCCCGATGGGGCCCGGCACGGGCGGGAGCGGCGCGCGGCCTTGCGCTGGGGAAATGCGGGGACCCCCTCACCTGCGTCTCCCCTCACAGACTCAGGCACCTGGAGTTCCAGGCGGGCCCTGCATTTAGCCCAAAGTAGGTCTGAGTCAGGTCCCCAACCTAAAGCCTTCTGGCGAGTAGGAAAATGGAGCCTTGGGGCCAGGTAGGCGAGCGCACCTTCTGCTGAGCCCAGGGAGGTACTGCGATGGCTGATCCTAGACCTCAGACTCTCCACACGTGCCAAAACGAATTTTCGCCGCATCCGGTACTGGAGATGCAAGCTCATCTCTTCCTAAGCCCCGGCATCCTTTCTTCACTCGAGTTTGTTTCCGTCTTTTGGAAGCTCAAGGAGCCCTGGTTCAGGAATGCTGAATAATAAGGGTAGGAATCGAGGTTCACAAATGCCAGCATTTGTGAACACCCCCTTCGACGATCAGTCTTGGTTTTCTCTCTGGTGACAGCTCCAGTGCATCCCCGTGTGTGTGTGTGTGTGTGTGTGTGTGTGTGTGTGTGTGTGTGTGTGTGTGTGTTTTGTATTTCGCGCCCAGTGTGGTGCCTTCGTTACACATTGAGAGCCTTAATCAGGTGTGTCCAGAGTAAAAAGATCATACACTTGCCTCAAACAGGGCTGGAGTGCGACCCCTGATGCTTGTGCAGGGTGGGGGGCAAGGCAGGGTACGGACTAGCCACCGTCGACACTCCCATCCAAACAACCACTACAAGTGAATTCCGCCGCACCCGCCCTGTGGTCCTCATGGTGGGCACCTAAATCCATCAATGGCCCAGGCCCCTTGCCCCTCCGCTGCATACAGCAGGACTCAGAGCACTTGGTAGCTGACCTCCCAGAAAGGCGTTTAAAGGCCAATCGCCCTCGGCAGTGCGGGACTGAGACCAGCAGGAGTCGTTTGGCCTCCACGACCTTTTCCCCTATGTTTCTGAGCCAACGCCAGGCGCTTGCGATTCTTCATAGCCGTGTGCGCGCCTGCCCCACAGGGTTTTCCTTTAGGTTCGTCCTCTTGTCTAGGTCGCTCTTCTCTGCCCGCAGCGGATCTTCAGCTCCAGCTTCGCAGTGTTCCGCAGCTGGGGTGAGATCCATTGCAGCTTTGCATAAGTTCCAATTTAAACAGGATGTGTCCCCTCCGGGAGATATGTGTCTGAACACACTTGGGCAGTCAGTGAGGCCAGGTCAGCTTCCCGAATTAGCAATAATACGTTTGCTAAGTTGTGTGTATGCGGACAGGCACTTTAGTACTTGTAAGAATTGTGTGTGTATCGAAGTATGTATTTGAGACATTTTCCTGGGTAGCATACGGTAGCTGGTCTACCCATCTGGGCCCGAGATTTGAAACACGAAGGTCTGAGTTATTTGTCCACGAAACCGGGCAGCTATGGCGCGGTGGCTGCTTTAGGGGACCAGAATCCCACCTAAGGAGATAAGAACCTGCCCTGCGGCTGGTCACACAGGCTTTTTCCTGGCAGGCTGGGATTCCACCAACGGCTCCAGCCCACCATCCCGCGGTCACCCCGAGGACCTGCCTTAGCCACTCTTAAGATTCTTTATCGACCCTCCCCAATCAAACTTCTGCTTAGAATACCCTTGGATCATCGAAAACTGGCGCTGGGGCGGCCCAAGCAGCCTCTCAAGCGGCGCCTTGCGGCTCGGCTCGCAACTCCTGCTCCGCCCTACCCGCCCCCCTCCCCCCGCCTGGGTCTACCCCCCCCTCCTTCCCAGGAACAGGCGCCCCTGGGGGAGTCCCCCGGGCAGAAAGTGCGTGTCTCTTTAAGAGGCCCCGGGGGGCGCCTCGCGGGCCGCCCGGGGCTGGAGGGGGAGGGCACGGGCGAGGGCGGCTGGCGCCAGGCGGCCGAGGCTCCACAACAAAGCTCCGGCCCCTGTCACTTCGCATCGGCCGGGACCCGCAGACGGGTGGGGGACGCGCGCTCAGCCGCCCCTCCCTCTCCCAGGCGGTCCTGGGCAGGGGCGTCGGGCGGGCGCTGGCTTCGTGGTCCCAGGCCCCTTCCGCGTGGTCCCTACCCTTAGCTTCCCGCAACAACCAAATGGAGCACCGGTCGCCTGGCCGGGATGGGACTGCAGTCCCAAGCCTGGCAGGGCTGCCTGCTCCCTCTTTTGGCATGGTCAAGACACAAGGCTAAGTCCTCCCTCCTGAGTTGATCCTAAAGATCGCATAGGTCTCCGTGTGGAGACGGAAAAAGATTATTCCACACCACCTGTGGGTGTCTGCATGCACGACCCTCACGGAGTGGATGCGGGCGATGTGTGGTCCTATGGCAGCGTTGGGTGAGGGGAATGTGAGCGCCAGTAACTGGGCACTAAGCGCTTCTTGGCAAAGGAATGTGCCCGGGGAAAGCTGGGGTGACATGTGTGGCCCTATGCTTAGGGAAAGTGGTTAGGGAGACACGAGGCGCATCCATCGTTCTCTTCTACAGCTTCTTCTCCACTGGACCCGCGCCTCCCGGAGCCTTGGCGCCAGCTAGCCCGCTTAAGCAGTGGGGCTGGGCTCCCCCGCGGTCCCGGGTCTGGCCAGGCTGGGGGCCGCGGCCTCGGTGACCCCAGCCCGCGGCGGCCCGGCCTGTCCCGTCCACTTAAACAAATTGCGGCTGACAGGCGCGCAGTCTCCCTGGAGCCGCAGCTCGCCGGTCGCCTCTCTCGTCCCAATTACCCAGCGCAGGGTCTGGTCAGCAGGCTGGGGTGCGGCAGGCGACGCGGGAAGAGTGGGCTGCCCGACTCCTCTGCCTGGTCATGGTGTGGTCCTAGTCTGGTGCCAGGACCAGGCGCGGGGCCACTTCGTCGTCAGGCTCTGGGAAGCACTGGAGCAGTGACCGACGGTGTGGCCCAGTGCCTGGCTGTCAGGTTGATGCGGAGGCGAGGCCCAGCTAGGTGCCTCTTGCACCCGGAGTTGTGGGGTGGGGGACGACATCTCCCTGCATTTTGAGAGATCACGTGGTTAGGAACCCAGGTTGTGTCCTCGTCGATTTTGGACGACTTTCCCCAGACTTTTAGGAATCCTATAACTCCTCTGAACTGCTAACTACTCGCTACCCTGAGCCTTGGTTCCACGAGGTGCAGCCGCTGTCGCTCTTGGTACACGCAGGGCTGCAGAAGTGAGGTGCCTGAGTCTTGAACTTGAGCCTGGACATGGGGTGGGTGTTTGGGGTCTCAGGAGAGTGAACCGGCTTGAGAAGGGCTCCCAGGACCGGCCCACCTCCAACAGCGGGGCGTGGCTGGTCGGTGGGCACTCTACAGGCTGGTTCGCTTTGGCCCGCACCAGGAGGGGAGGGGGGGGTCTCTGGAGTACCTGGGGCACAGCGCGGTCAGTCTGCGCTGCCCCCGCAGTGCAGTCCCACCAATGAGCTCCCTGGACCGTAGTAGCCTCTGAACACCCTTTTGCCTTTCTGATGCTGCCCCGCTGAGCTCTTCCCCATGCATCTTTTTAGAGATGAGAATTCTGAAGCCTAGAGTTGCAGGGAATTTGCTTAAAGTCACCTAGCTCCTGGTGGAAAAGCTAGAATGGAACCCTGGAACCTCAAAAAGAGGCGTGTGCTCAGACCCCAAATCCACTCCTTCGAAAGGCATTTCGAAGCGGTGGCATTGCTGTGGTCCTCAGAGAGGAAAGCCACACTGGCATTCCAGGGCGTCCACTGGGCTCTGGATTTTAGGACCAGGTCTGCAGGAGGTGGGGGTGCAGGGGAAAGGGGTTACTCGGGGTGCAGCTTCAAAGTCAGCTGAAAACTTGCAGAGCTGGGACTCAGGAGTCGG